ACAGCAGAAAATTCTGGATTCAAACATTTATTGCTTTTTTGTTTTGCTTTGTTTCTGTTTTCTTTCCTTTTGCCTTAAGAAGATGAACAATGAAACCACAACCCTGATATCCTTGAAGGAGGCAATGAAAAGGTTGCTGAGGGCTATAGGGAGGGAGCAAGCATGGGTCTGCTATTCTGGGAAGATGGGTAAGAGAAGAATGAAGAATAGAAATAAACAAAGAACTACAGACGTGCTCATTAGAATTCCGTCTCTATGGCTGGCGCGGTGGCTCACGCCTATAATCCCAGCACACTGGGAGGCTGAGGTGGGCAGATCACAAGGTCAAGAGATCAAGACCATACTGGCCAACATGGTGAAACTCTGCCTCTACTAAAAATACAAAAATTAGGCGGGCATGGTGGTGGGTGCCTGTAGTCCCAGCTACTTGGGAGGCTGAGGCAGGAGAATCACTTGAACCCAGGAGGCAGAGGTTGCAGTGAGCTGAGATCGCGCCACTGCACTCCAGCCTGGCAACAGAGCGAGACTCCGTCCAAAAAAAGAATTCCATCTCTATGACAGTGGTTTAAGTCTTCCAGGCCCAAACCTATGTAAATTAACAATAAAGAAAAGTCTGCTCCCAGGTGCAGTAATGCCAGTGAATGTATGCATGTGCTAAATTCTAGATTTACAAAAAAAGGTAAAAGGAGCTCACAACCTGTAGGAAAGAGAAAAGTTTGAAAAATATTTACAATTTAATGTGACTGACCTTTCAACGGTGATGTTCCTAAAGATCTGTGCAAATATGAACGGAGGATCAACCAATTTGCCTTTGACACTAGAGAAAGGAACTCTTCATATAGGGTCATTTAAGCTGGATCTTAAAGTGTAAGTAGGAGCTTATGAGGGAGAAAAATATGGGACGGAATTCTAGGCTGAGGAAACAGTGGGTATATGCCATATGTAAGCCTGGAACCACACGATGTATCCAAGCAGATGACAAGAGATGTCTCATGTATTGGTGACTAGGATGGGTGAGGGGACTGGCGGAAGACAGAAGCAAAGGGTGAAGGCCCTTGACTTTCCTGCCGAAGAGATCCAATTTGGCTCTGAGTAGATCACTGGGCAAGCCAGGATAACGTCAACCATTTGTAATCAGCTGAGGTACAGAATCGGAATTGTGTTTTAGAAGAATGTGTCTGGAGGATGGATGGGAAATGGAAAACAGGGGTCCAGTTAGGCTACTGTAATCTTGAGTCCTAGTGAAAGATGATGAGAAACTCATTTAGTGGAGATGGAGAGGCAGGAATGGGTTAGAGAGACATAAATTGGGGGAAGAAGAAAAGTTGAGAATTATTCTGAGATTTCTAGTTCAAGGAATTGGTTGGATGGTGAGGTCATTAACGGGACTAGGGAACTGTAGTAAAACAAAACAGAACAAAACAGCCTGTGCTCAGATTTGCATGCTGGTTTAGATTTTTGTGGAACGGCCTGGGACTGTCCTTTGGTGAGAGGATTCCAAAGAACTGCAACTGTACATTTTTATACTGATTGACAAGCTAGAATTCCTCTCTAAGATTCAAACTACAGATACCTATAAGCAATATAATCTTAAAGGTCTAGAAGTTAATACAAATAGTATATGCCAAATGACTTTTTTTTTTTGACACAGGGTCTCGCTGTGTTGCCCAAGCTGAGTGCAGTAGCATCATCACAGCTCACTGCAGCCTTGGCCTCCTGGGCTCAAGCAATTCTCATACCTCAGCCCCCCCAGTAGCTGGGACCACAAGTGCACACACCACCACACTAGGCTAATTTTTTATTTTTTGTAGAGATGAGGACTCACTATGTTGCCCAAGCTGGTCTCAAACTCCTGGACTAAAGCGATCCTCCCACCTTGACCTCCCAAAGTGCTGGGATTACAGGTGTGAGCCACTGCACCCGGCTCAAATCACATGGTTTTGCCTTGTAGACAGAAATTGCAGGCATATTAGGTCACACAGGCTTCTATTCCTACAAAGTGAACATTTTATACTGAGTTTTATTTATGTGTAAAGCAGTTGACATTTCTTCACAGTAATTTCTGAAGATGGGGGAGGTATTAGTAGGTTAAGCTTAGGAGAGTTGAGTTTGACATCTCCATCTTTGTGGAGATGCACAAAACATATTGAAAATACAGGTCGAGGCCGGGCATGGTGGCTCATGCCTGTAATCCCAGCACTTTGGGAGGCTGAGGTGGGCGGATCACCTGAGGTCAGGAGTTTGAGACCAGCCTGGCCAGCATGGCAAAACCCCATCTCTACTAAAAATACAAAAATTAGCCAGGTGTGGTGGCACCTGTAGTCCCAGCTACTTGGGAGACTAAGGCAGGAGAATCGCTTAAATCCGGGAGACAGAGGTTGCAGTGAGCCAAGATTGTGCCACTGCACTCCAGCCTGGGTGATAGAGCGAGACTCCATCTCAAAAAAAAAAAAAGAAAGAAAAGAAAATACAGGTTTAAAGCTTAGGAGAGATGTAGTACCTGAAGGAGAATTAGCCTTGAGAGAAATTCAGAACGAAGAATAAAAGATGATCAAGCATAGAATGCTGGGCAGTCACAAAGGTATTCGGGTCACTGGGGACACAGAAGCTCAGAGAAGTAGCGTGTGTGTTGACTCATCACTTCCCTCATAACGACAATCTAGGTGGCTCAGACAAGTGAGGTGTGTCCTCCAGTCTCTGTGATTAATTAGACATAATGCTGGTGCCACAGCACCCTCTGATGGTCACGGCTGTTCAGAGCTACTCAAATCCTCATTTTGGGTTACAAAACTCAGCATTTCATTCACATCAAAGATGTCAATCATACAGGAAAACTTTTATTACAGTGTAAGACCTTTGCTGGGTATTGGGAGACAGGCATAAAGGTATCTAAGAAATAGTCTCTGATTCCTTCCCTCCAAGAACTTACAATTTAGTTCATGAAAGGCTAACCCTAATAGTAAAGCAGGAGGTGGGGAGATGGGTTCACAGAGGCAGTGCTTGTAAGCGAGAAGTAGGCAGGCAAGGAGATCACCAGGCAGAAGGGGAATTTAACAAGGCAGTGGATTTGAGCTGATTCTGGAAGAAAGGGTAAGAGTTGGACAACCAGAATAGGGTAGAAAAAGTCACCTTATTATATACCGGTCTCAGCACTAGCTAACTTTATGACATTAGGTCTCAATCCTCTTGAGACTCAATTTCTTCAATAGCAAAATAGTAAAAATGACTGCTTTACTTTTTGTGGTTGCTGTGAACACCAAAGTAATGCTTACATAAAATAGTCTTTAACGCATAAGATATAGCCCGGGCATGGTGGCTCATGCCTGTAATCCCAGTACTTTGGGAGGCCAAGACAGGTGGATCACTGGAGCCCAGGTGTTCAAGACCAGCCAAACATAGCAATTCCTGGTCTCTACAAAAAAAATATTTTTTAACAATTAGCCAGGTATGGTGGCACACAACTATAGTCCTAGCTACTCGGGAGGCTGAGGTGGGAAGATCACTTGAGCCTGGGAGGTAGTGATTGTGCTATGGCACTCCAGTTTGGGTGACAGAGTGAGACTCTGTATTAGAAAATAAATAAATACATACATAAACAAATAAAGCATAAAGTATAATACAAAAACAAGACATGATAGGCAATTCAAGTAATTAGATAGTTCAAAGGTTTGCAATATATGGGATGAAAGGACAAGGATGGTGGCTAGAGGGAACGGCAAATGGAACCATTTTTGTTGAAACTTTCAAATTCAAATAGCTACCCATTTTCCCTTCAGAGTTTAAAGTAAAAGTTAAAAAAAAAAAGTTACCCAAATTTGGTAGGGGTTGTAAATAATGTACTAGAGCCTCAGCTTAAAGCAAAACCTTAATTTTGTCCTGTAACCTAAACTAACCCTTGATTCTGTTATCCTATAGAGTAGACCACAAACTCCAAGTGTTAGAAGCACAGTTCAGAGAACTAGACTTCACCAAGGATAACCTGATGCAGAAATTCGAGCATCATAGTAAGACTCTGGCAAACCAAGCAGCCCAAGATGAGATGTGGACAGCAGTTCGGGCACTCGAGTGAGTATCAGTTGAGAAATCAGTGGGATTCTGTGGCTTTGAGAGCTTCCAGTGGTCATTCCAAAATTGAATTCTTTAGTATCTTTCCCACAATGGATTGTAAAGCAATTACATTTTCTTAGGTTATGTTTTTTAAAAAAGATTAATTTGCACATCTCTTTATATGCCAGGAACTATGGTACATATCTCATCACAGGGTCTCTTGCTTGCCAAAGCCTTATTTGCATTAATTTCTTTTTCTTTTTCTGTCTTTTTTTTTTTTTGAGATGGAGTCTTGCTCTGTCACCCAGGTTGGAGTGCAGTGCGGCAATCTCAGCTCACTGGAACCTCCACCTCCCGGGTTCAAGCCATTCTCCTACCTCAGCCTCCTGATTAGCTACCATTACAAGCATGCATCACAACACTCAGCTAAGTTTTGTATTTTCAGTAGAGACAGGGTTTCACTATGTTGGCCAGGCTAGTCTCAAACTCCTGACCTCAGATGATCCACCCACCTCGGCCTCCCAAAGTGCTGGGATTATAGGAGTGAGCCACTGTGCCCAGCCTATCTGCATTAATTCTAAAGTAAGTATTGGCAGGGCATGATGGTTCATGCCTTTAATCCCAGCACTCTGGGAAGCCGAGGCAACAGGATCACTCGAGCTCAGGAGTTGGAGAACAGCCTGGGCAACGAAGTGAGACCCCATCTCTTTAAAACAAAAAAAAAAAAGGTAAGTATTTGAATTTGAATTTAAATTCTAAAGTAAATATTTTCTAAATTACAACAGCTGGTTCTCCTAGTGGGTTCATATTGAGTTAATCCTAAAAGAATTCATTTTCTGTTTCTATATATTTTTGACTGCTTAAGAAGCTCTCCATATTTTTTGTAGGTTCACTTCAATGGAATTGAATATTTTATACAGCTACATTATTGAAGTACTTATCTGCTTGCATACTCGTGTGCTTGAGAAGCTGCCAGACCTGGTGAGAGGTCTTCCAACCTTAGCCTCTGTCCTCAGACGAAAAGTTAAGAACGAGCGCATTAGAGTTGTCTGGGATTCCATTCTGGAGGAGTGCGGGCTGCAAGAAGGAGACATCACAGCACTTTGTACCTTCTTCATTGTACACGGTAACAAGGCGGAACACTATACTGATAAAGCGAGGCAGACGTACATCAGGGACATCACGTTCCTGATTACTAACGTGGTAAAGAACCAGGTTCTGCAGGACAGTTTGCTGAGGGCTGTGCAGGTAATTGAGAAGGGGAAAGCAGTCAGGACCCCTGAAGAGCAAAAGTCGCCCCTCAAAGAGTCGATACCATCCGTCAAAAACTAACCTGCTACCCTACGACCCGGTGATTCCACCTCCAGTAATTCATCTTGGAAATGGCCAAAAGTATGCACAATGTATTACAGCCTTATTTTTATAGCAAAGAGTGAGGGGATGTGAAATAAATTATGACAAATGGATACAATAGATACTTTCTGTGTAGCCATACAAAAGAATGAAGAAGCTCTTTGTGTAATGATATGAAGTTATCACCAAATGTATTGTTCTTTTCAAATGTTTATTTCCAATATATATTGCTAAGTGGAAAAAAGGTGCAAAATCAAATATATATATATGCATATATATAATGCATATTAGTTTATATATCCATAAACTTCTGCAGAGATACACAAGAAAGTGATAACATTACTTGTCAGGAAAGAAAGTTAAGAGGCTAGGGGTCAAAGATAAGAGGAGGTCTTTTCGCTGTTAATCCATTTTGTACATTTTCAATTTTGAACCATGTGAATGTGTATTACCTATTTAAAAAATAAATAAGGCTGGACATGGTGGCTCATGCCTCTAATCCAAGCATCTTAGGAGGTCAAGGTAGGAGGATCACTTGAGCTCAGGGGTTTGAAACCAGCTTGGGAAACATAACGATAGCAATAGGAGGCAGGTAAATTCCTAGGCAGACAGGGATGGATCCCTGGTGAAACTCAACCTTCAAGCCAAGGACAGTTTAAAGCCTGAAAACCAAGCTATGAGTTCCAGATAGATCCATGAACCAGACTGAGAGCTCCCATTCTCATCTGGCACCCTCTCTTCTGATTGGTCCTTATCCTTCACCTATTTTACACATACCTACCCTTCCCCAATTGGTCCTCTATACTATCGTGCCTATTTCTGAATGGTGCTTTTTCAAGCATAGCCATAGACCAATCAGCATGCACTTGTCCATTTCTAACCCACAAAATCCCATGGACTCAGGCTCGTGGCCAGCAACCCACCATCGGGTACCCTCTCACTGTCAAGAGGCTTTCTGTCACTCAGTAAATTCTACTCTGCCTTACTCACTCTCCAGTGTCTGTGTACCTCATTCTTCTCAGTCATGGGACAAGAACTCAGAACTCATCAAATTCAGGAGTAAAAGAGCTGTAACAATAGTGAGACTTCATCTCTATTTTCATAAATTAAAACACAAAACACCTAAAATATACATCATGAGATACTATAAATTGTATCTTAATGTGTATTTGTTCTCTAATGAAGTACTATAGTTATTTATACCAGAAAGGGGATTCTTACATCTTGACCATTTATTTATAATATTTATTGAATACCAAATGCCATGTACTAGGTGCTGTGGATAACAGAAACATTAAAAATGTGGATCCTGCCCTCGAGGTAAAGATTAAGTGCCAGTGCTTTATTTGGGAGGTACAAATTCAGGACAGCCAGAGTGAATAAAGCTGGAAGGAAGTTAGGTAGAGGAGGATGTGAAGTAATACATGGTGATGTGTTACCTTGCTGGCCCCGCCTTGAAAATGAGCCAGAAGAGACACAGCAGCTTTGTCAGCAGGTACACTCACTCAGTCTTGCCTGTCTCCAGACACACTGGAGAAACCATCCTCGCATCCTCGGAAGGAAGGAGAAAAGGGAATTTAAGTATTGTGCTTACTCAGTCCATTGGTTTCAGCTGGCAAAAGTTACTCCATGGGAAGTGACCCCCCCATACTCCCAGCATGCATTACCCAGGCCCTAGCAGCCACTGAGAAGTCAGCTCCTGCATTGTTCAGAAGTGGCAGGAGAAGCCAGAGATTCCAGAAATGCAACTGGTGAGCCACAAGCAGAGCAAATGATTATGGGTACAGAAAACAAACAAGGCAAAGGAAATCTGAGGAAGTACATGAAATATATCCATTACACAAGACAGAAGCACCTGAAGATAGAAATCAGCATCTAGGAGTTCAATAGTAAAACTGTAATAAAAATCAGTATCACTGGGCAATATATGATTGGGTGAATTTAGAAAAGGAGCATCACTGGTGGTGGGAAGTGCATTAAATTGTACATAAAAGTGCACTCTGGAAGAAGTGAATTTTTTTTTTTTTTTGAGATGGAGTCGTGCTCTGTCAACCCAGGCTGGAGTGCAGTGGTGTGATCTGGGCTCACTGCAACCTCTGCCTCCCGGGTTCAAGCAATTCTCCTGCTTCAGCCTCCCGAGTAGCTGGGATTACAGGCAACTGCCACCACGCCCAGCTCATTTTTGTATTTTTAGTAGAGATGGAGCTTCACCATACTGGCCAGGCTGGTCTGGAACTCCTGACCTCGTGTTCTGCCTGCCTTTGCCTCCCAAAGTGCTGGGATTATAGGTGTGAGCCACCAAATTGATGTTTGAAGTAGGCACAGCCATAAAGTAACCCATTTAGGATGAACCGAGAAAGCAATGTCATGAAACCAAAACATATGGATGACAGAGAATAAATCACAGTTGCATGTTTAAAAGAATAATGGGAGATTCCATGGGAAAAGCATGTTGTGGACATATTAGGAAGCCTGAAGGCTGGGTGCAGTGGCTCACTCCTGTAATCCCAGCACTTTGGAAGGCCAAAGTGGGTGGATCACCTGAGGTAAGGAGTTTGAGACCAGCATGGCCAATGTGGTGAAACCCCATCTCTACTAAGAATACAAAAATTTGCCAGGCATGGTATTACAACGCACGTGGTATTACAAGGCATGCGCCTGTAATTGCAGCTACTTGGGAGGCTGAGGCATGAGAATCACTTGAACCCAGGAGGTGGAGGTTGCAGTGAGCTGAGATTATACCACCACAATCCAACCTGGACGACAGAATGAGGAGCTGTCTCAAAAAAACAAACAAACGAACAGAAAACGAGCCTGAAATTCCAAGCTAAGGGACTGATACTGTAGACAACTGGATGACAGTCCCAGGTTTCTTTTTTTTTTCTTTTTTTTGAGACAGGGTCTTGCTCTGTCACCCAGGCAGGAGTGCAGTGGTATGATCACCGCTCACTGCAGCCTTGACCCCCTGGGCTCAAGTGATCCTCCCACCTCAGCCACCAGAGTAGCTGAGAATACAAGCGTAAGCCAGCACATCCAGTGATTTTTTTTATTTTTTTGTAGAGACAGGTCTCACTATGTTGCCCAGGCTGGACCTGAACTCCTGGGCTCCAGTGATCTTCCCACCTTGGTCTTCCAAAGTGCTGAGATTACAGGTGTGAGCTATCACAGACAGTAACAGGCTTCTGAACCCACATTGAAATAAAAGCTCCCAAAGATTTCTACCAAGGACCCATGTCTCCTTGTTTTGATCAACCTGGAAACCATTCCTCTACCCAGCCTGAATGCTCTCAGCAGTCTCAGAACAACTTAAAGTCTGCTTTCATGCACAGTGATTTTCTTTTCTCTTCCTTCACACCGATTGAATATTCCCTCAAAAAATACAGGTCTGGAGCTGGATATGGCGTTGCAAGCTCTAGACCCAGCTACTCCAGAGGCTGAGGCAAAAGAATCCCTGGAACTCTGGAGTTGTAGTCCAGCCTGGACAAAACAGTGAGTCCCCAATTCTTTTATTTATTGATTTATTTGTATTTTTTGAGGTGGAATTTTGCTCTGTCCCCCAGGCTGGAGTGCAGTGGCACAATCTCGGCTCACTGCAGCCTCTGCCTCCCAGGTTTAGCGATTCTCCTGTCTCAGTCTCCTGAGTAACTGGAATTGCAGGCGCTTGCCACAATGCCCAGCTAATTTTTGTAGTTTTGGTAAGGACGGGGGTTTCACTATGTTGGCCAGGCTGGTCTTGAACTCCTGGTCTCAAGTGATCCGCCTGCCTCAGCCTCCCAAAGTGCTGGGAGTACAGGCATGAGCCACTGTGTCTGGCTTTTTTTTTTTTTCAAAACGAGTCTCACCTTTTTTTTTTTTTTTTTGAGATTTGTCTCATTCTGTCCCCCAGGCTGGAGTGCATCAGGGTGATCTTGGCTCGGGGTGATCTTGGCTCATTGCAACCTCCGCCTCCTGGGTTCAAACGATGTAAAAGCCTAATTCTAAAACAAAACAGAAAAAACCTCGGGGCCCAGCACACCAACTCTAAAACAAATCATAAAAGCCTCAGGCCGGCCCAGCGTTGGTTACTTACTTCAACATGCATAAAATGTGAAATTATATTCTTGTTAATCTCCTTTGTAGAATTTTGATTGTTGAAACTTAAAAAACTATATATTATCTAAATGATGGCCATGAACAACATCTAAGCTCTGGGGCTGAGACAGCCTTGAGGTTTGTTGCCCAAGCCAAAGGGCCTCAGGCCCTTTCAGAAGGGAAGGCAATTCTAAAGCAACCTACTCCGGCTGCAGACTTTAAGTGTCTGGGCCATACAGAAGGAAGCGTAAGTGGGTGTTAAATTGTCCCAGGTTTCTCTGACCACAATATTTCTTGGAGATGCTTTTTAAAGAATTTTGGAAAGCGACCTAAGCGGCTTCGTTACAAATCAATAGAAACAAAAACGTACTCACAAGGGTACTGAGGTAAGTATTACTGTTCGGCTTTTTAAAATTTTTTAAAAAGTTTTTTGAGAGGAAGTCTCGCTCTGTCGCCCTGGCTGGAGTGAGTGGCGCGATCTCGGCCCACTGCAAGCTCCGCCTCCCGGGTTCCCGCCATTCTCCTGCCTCAGCCTCCCGAGTAGGTGGGACTACAGGCGCCGCCACCACGCCCGGCTAATGATTCTGTATTTTTAGTAGAGACGGGGTTTGGCCATGTTGGCCAGGCTGGTCTCAAACTCCCGACCTCAGGTGATCCGCCCGCCTCGGCCTCCCAAAGTGCTGGGATTACAGGCGTGACCCACCGCGCCCAGCCTTTTTTTTTTTTAAGCCAGAGTCTCGCTGTCGCCCAGGCTGGAGTGCAGTGGCGCGATCTCGGCTCAGTGCAACCTCCGCCTCCTGGGTTTAAGCGATTCTTCTGCCTCAGCCTCCCAGGTAACCTGGACTACAGGCGCGCACCACCAGGCCCGGCTGATTCTGTATTTTTAGTAGAGACGGGGTTTGGCCATGTTGGCCAGGCTGGTCTCAAACTCCCGACCTCAGGTGATCCGCCCGCCTCGGCCTCCCAAAGTGCTGGGATTACAGGCGTGAGCCACCGCGCCCGGCCGTGTTTGGCTGTTGCATTTGTTTTGCAGTTTCCCTTTTTCTACCCAGAAACCAAGAAACCCGGGGTGTCTGAGGCCTGGCAGAAATCTCCGGGGAAAGTCAGGCTCCACCCAGGCTGCACCAGCAGGAGCGGCGACGCCTGGGCTGGGCCTCTCCGGCTGGGAGGGCGGGCGGGGCGCAGACGCCGGAAGTCCCGCCCCGGGAGCGTCCGCCCTTGGGCGGGTTTCTGGGTGGGAAGCGCGGTTTTGGCGGGCGGTTGTGACGTTGCTGGCGCTTGCCCGGTGGCTGCTGCGCCGCCGCAACGAATAGGGCTTCTGGCTGCGCAAGAGGGACCCGGGCGCGGAGCTCTGGGAAACTGCGCCGGGCGCCGGGAAGCTGAACCCGGGAGTCGCGCGCCGCCCCCGCAGCAGCGCCAAAGCGGAAGTTCTGCAGCAGCCGGAGCTCGGGGTTCCTCCCGGAGCCGCGTCCCGGGGCCGGGCTGCCCCGAGCTGAGCGGAGCATCCCCTCCGGATGAGGGGAGGAGGGGACTTGGCGCGCTCCCCTCGCTGCACCGGGAGCCGCAGCCGCAGGGTTCACGCCGCGGAGCAGCCCGGCTCCTCCGACGAAAGCCTGCAGTCGTTTGCTTGCCGGACGTTTGCCTTAAAAATGGACAAAGACGCCGCCCTCCGGGGCGTTCCTGTTTGCCTGACCCTGAGAGCGCCTTTTTGCTTCGAGACGGATTGGATGCCCCTGTTCTCCGAGTTCTGATACGCTTCTGGGCACAATATTGAAACAAAACTGTGCTTTTGCTCTCTCTGTGGTTGGCCGAAAATAGGATTGTTTTTCGCGCAGGTGTCGTCGTTTAGTCGACTTTATTAACGTGTTAAAATGGCTCTACCCAAAGGCGCCGTCCCCTCGCGGTCCGAGTGCCAGTGCGGGATCTGCATGGACATCCTCGTGGAGCCCGTGACCCTGCCGTGCGGCCACACGCTGTGCAGACCGTGCTTCCAGGCGACCGTGGAGAAGGCGAGTCTGTGCTGCCCCTTCTGTCGCCGCCGCGTGTCTTCGTGGGCTCGGTACCACACCCGAAGGAATTCTCTCGTCAACGTGGACCTGTGGAAGGTCATTCAGAAACACTATCCCCGGGAGTGCAAGCTCAGAGCGTCGGGGCAGGAGGCCGAGGAAGTGGGTGAGTAAACCCCGGCCTGATTATTGGCCGAAAGCCGCAAATCTTTGAAAAGGTGAATCATCGCTTCTCCATTTAAAAAGTACAAACAAACCAAAAAGCCCCACTGGTGTTTGTCTAAATAGTTCTCAGAGGTTTGAGGGTTTATGGGTCCCCAAATGTCGATGGATTGTAAAGTCAAGGACAAGATGTCATGATGCCCGCGCTGTGTTCGATGGGTGTTTGTTGTTTTAAAAATTAAAGAATTGCCCGTCTAGAGCCTTTTTTTTTTTTTTTTTTTTTGAGACAGGGTCTCGCTCTCGCCCAGGCTGCAGGGCAGTGGCGCGATCTCGGCTCACTGCAGCCTCCGCCTCCCGGGTTCAAGCGACTCTCCTGCCCCAGCCTGCCGAGTAGCTGGGACTACAGGCGCGCACCATCGCGCCCGGAATTTTTGTATTTTCGCAGAGACGGGTTTTCACCATGTTGGTCAGGCTGGTCTCGAACTCCTGACCTGCGGTGATCCGCCCGCCTCAGCCTCCCAAAGCGCTGGGATTACAGGAGTGAGCCACCGCGCCCGGCCTCTGATTTACTTATCTGTACATCTCCATTCACGTAATTCTTTATTCTCCTAGTCATGCAACGAGCCGATCGTGACCAGCCTGGCCAACACGGAGAAACCCCGTCTCTACTAAAAATACAAAAATTAGCCGGGCGTGGTGGCGGCGCCTGTAGTCCCAGCTTCTCGGGAGGCTGAGGCAGGAGAGTGGCGTGAACCCGGGAGACAGAGGTTGCAGTG